AAGGGGAGGAACCAATCGGGTTTCTTTCTGTTCTATTTTGAGTTCAACATTTTTGGAAGCATTCACCCCATCCCACTGACATATCTATTCCTTTCTAGAAGCCTCGGTCCCTGCTTCCTCCTCCCCCCGCCTTCCAGCCCAAGGAACATCATTTACACTCCCACTTGAGCATTTTGATATCTTGTTTTAGGGTCCTAAAAGTAGAGCTTTTACAACAACCGCACAGGACAAACAAACAGAGACCCATGGACATGAACTATAGACTAGTGATTACCAGAGGTTAGGGGATGAAGGAGAAGGGGATAGGTAGACGGTTAAAGGGGGTCAAAAATAGGGGGATAGGAGGAGGGTGAAGTGGGTAAAGGGGATCAAATATATGATAACTGAAAGAAACTGGACTTTGGGTGGTAAACAGTCAATAGAATATACAGATGTCAAATTATAATGTACACCTGAAAATTATATAATTGTATCAACCAATGTTACCCCAATAAACTTAAAAAAAAAAAAAAGTAGATCTTTTAGGGGAATGAATGAGCTGCAGTTTGTTTCATGACAGGTCTCTCCATTCATGGGTTGTAGGCCTCTAGGTTTCTTGATCTCATCTGATCTTTAAAATTTTCACACTGACAGTAAATCACACTATGGCGACACTTTGCTCAGATACATTTCCTTGCATCTTTTACTTGTCATATCAGGATCATGACAATCCCAATGCTCATTAGCTTTGTCAATTTAAATAGGACCCCTTGCAAAGAACAGCAAATAGGCATCAAAAAGCTGAACATGCATCGTGTGAAGACATCAGTCATTTGTCTGTTGTACCCACTCCTGTCATTTTAGCACTTTCTGGTCTCTATGTAAGAACTCAGAATACGGAAAGGTGGACAACTGAAACAGACAGAGGAAATAGTTGATTTGTTTAGTTGCTAAATACATCTGGGACAGGTAATTAAACAGTCCTGCTCCTGTGGAAAAGCCTGCATTAGTGTAACACAATGTCTCAGAAACCCAGCTGGACTCAGATTTAGATTTGGAACTAATATTAGATAGGCCTCTTTCACAATGACAGGTTTCATAAACATTTCTGGTTTATTTGTTCATTGTGATTAAAGATGGAGCACGTGTGTTTTGTTCATGGTTTAAGTTTCTAGGAAGCACGTGATGTTTATAGATATCTGATGGAATAGCCCAGAAAGGCACAGCCCTGTATCTGGAGGGCAAGCGATACCATGGGTATAGGGAATGGGGGTTACCCACGTGAATGGTGCAGAATTGATAAAGGGCCAAAAGAGAAGATTGGAATCAGTTTCCGCCTTAATCCTTTAGTTTTTTTCTGGGGGAGGAGGAACATTATTATATGGGTAGCGAAGATCTCTCTGTGTGTACAGCAATGTCTTTGTTTTAATTTGGGTACTTATTTCTATGCATAACTTGCTACTACCATGTACTTAGTTACCAAAACCAAAAACTTAGCAATTCATCTTTTTTACTCACTTCTCACAAGCAGTCCCCCAGCAGGCTCTTATTCTTCAAGTCTCACCTTAAATATATCCCCATCTCTGTGAAACCTACTCTGACTAACTTTCAAAAATGTTCCGTACCAGTTGTGTCTGATGTCTTGACTCAAATCAGTTCCTTCGCAGCACTTATCACAATTAGTAATTATTTATTTTTCAATGGTTTGCTGGTGAATTATTTGTTTACTTACTGTTTTGCATGAATCTGCTTTCTCTCTTGCTTGTTGATTGCCTGTCTCCAAACTAGATGTTAGTTCCATGAGGGTAGACACTGTTTCTTTCATTAACCCTGTGATTCCAGCTCATAGCTCAAATACTTGCACATAGCTTATACTCTCTAAATATATGCTAGATAGCATGTTCAAACTAGATTACAGGTGAGTGATAATGCTGGTAAAATCTCTCTAAAAGAAAAAAAAAGGAGTTCCAATTTGTAGCATTTACCAATATTTGTGGTATAAACAGTCCCACCATGGCAGATTTCAAGCTACCAAAATGACATCACTGAGCAGAGATGGAAAGAGATTCATAATAGCACTTCATTGTTGCACGTTTCTCTATGAGAGCAGAACTGTTTAGTTACCAGATCCAGCTGCGTTTAGCAACTAATAAACAAATCAATCGTTTCATATGTCTCTTTTAATTGTTTACACTTTCAATATTCTCTGTGTTCTTAAATAGAGGGTATTTCTACCATACATGGTATAACAGATAAAAGTTGCTTTGAGAACATCAATCAAATGTGGTAAAAAATAATTAGGAAGTGATGGATTTTGAGTACTTATTACATTTATTTTTAGTATTATTTAATTGTAACCTTAGGTAATTTAATTTTATTAATAGCTATACTTAATAAATGGCTTGCAAAATTCCTGAAAATTGAACAATCTGCTCCTGTAAGCAGGCTTCAGTCCCCCACTAGAGATGACCTGTGGGTGGAACCAGTAACCACTCACTGCACTAGTGTTTGGCTCATAAACAAAGAGTAAATGGTCATTTCTCTGAGAGTTTTTATTTACCTTTTACTACTAAAGAAAATCATACTAATGGATCCTTCTAGCTTGATATACATGATTTGGTACAATGTATAGACAAGAGAATAAGGTGGCAGCAGTGAGAAATAAAGCAATCACAGAGAGGTAACAGTGTAAAAACAATCTTAATCTTCTATTTAGAATGCTAGCACATCTTTTTTGCCAGAGATGGTTATAGATCCTCAGGTGGTTGGTGGTCAAGAGCACTTTCAGAAAATTTGCCCAGGGCCAGAAGTCCCTCATGCCTATTTTAAGTCATTGAGATATTAGGTAGCTGGACTCCTTGCTACTTCACATATATCTGTGTGTCTGTAGTGGAACAGAAATGAGCCCCAGATGATGTCTGAAGGAAGGCCTGTAGAACTCTGGGGACTCAGAGCAGATGACTATGGGGAAGCTCAGAGATCACAGAGAATAGGGAATATGAGGGAAA